CCCCAAAACCCCAAAACCCCAAAACCCCATGAAAAGCTAATAATAGTAATTATACAACATTAGAAATTTGATGAATTATTAAATGAAGATTAAAGTGTATTATTATTTAGGTTGAAAGTTTGAATTTTCAATGTTTTGAGGGAAGATTGATCTAAGTAGAAATAATTATTAATACAGTTCCTAAATCTCCCTCCCTCCATCGTCTTAATCTTAAATACGAATTTATTATGAGGTTTGAAATCACTATAATATCTCATTGTTTTTATTCTGAATCTATTCCTTGATTTTCCTTATTTACCTGTGCATCTCTTCTTTTTCGCTCCATTAACTTTTCAGGAATATAAAAGAACAAGAGCTAAAGTAGTGCTGTTAGAAACAGCATATAGCCCTGAAGGTTAGAAGTTAGTTGAAAGTTTGTCGCAGCAGTCACGTAGTATCCGAAAATAGGACCAGTTGTAGACCCTAAATCATAAAGAGCATTAAAGGCTCCAGAAACAGTATCTTTAACTGCCTCTTTGTCAAAATTTTTCCCTTTGTATTCAAACAGAGCTAATTCAAGCTGCTTGTAGGGAGGGATGATCGTCATCGATGTTGCTCCTCCGTTAATCAGAAGTCCCAAAATAGTAATCCAAACGTATTTTGGCAAATGGAGAGTTTCATTTGGACCTATCAATTAAGCAGCAATCCCTTGAATTACTTAAGCCAGAACAATACACAATATCAAATTGAATTTCTTTGTCAATTTTGGAGCAATGAAGCAAGTTATAACAAAAGCAATATTTTAAGCTACAAAAACAAGACTGATCATACTTGGACTGTATCCAAACTCTTTATCTAGATAGTACGGTAAGCTAGTATCGCAAAAGTTATACATCTAGCAGCACAAAAGAATATCGAGGCAAGCAAAGAATCCTCGAGGAGACATCAATAAATGTAAATAATTCACTTGATCTTTAGGCTTAATCTCACTCGATTAATCATTCTGTTCTTCAATTATTACTACAGAATTATTTAGTTCCGCTTCAACTTCTTCAGATACTTATAATTCAATAATCTTATCTACTTTTGTTGATCTCTTTGTGAGATTAGCATCGTAGTCATCCTCTTCCAATTCGATTCCATTTAGTTATCCAGAAGTATTAAATTCTTAAATTTTTAGTTTTAAAGAAATCATTTCTACCTGATCATTATTTCTGCCAGTTTCATAATCATCAATTTTCTTTTAAAAATTTTCTGTAGTTTGAATTCCACCAAGAACTTGATTGTTCAAGATCATTGCCTTTTTTTATTATCTAACTATTCTGTTTTCAGACTTTGGATCATAATTCTTGGGTACGAATTTTATCAGATATGATTGGAAAACCCCAAAAAAAAGAAATATAATCCCTATTTAAGTTTAAATAAATTAATAGTTTACCACAAAAGGCAAAGGGACCTTAGTAACCTATCATATATGATAAAAATGAAGAAACCAATAATCCAATCACAGCTCCCCAACCTAAAATATCAGAAAAATTATTGTTTACCTGCACCAAACTCAAGTTATGAGACAACATCCTCTTAATTTTCAGGAAATTACATTGATAGCTCGGCAAAGGCTGAAATAATTTTTAATTTGAAATTTGACTTACAAGCAGTTTATAAGAGACCAGTAGCAATACCTTGAATTATTCTGGAAACAAACCCTATTCCTAAGAATAGAGGACTATAAATATAAGGAGCTGAAAGTATACGCTGAGTTGATGAAATCTAGAGAAATAAATCCAGCTGCAGCAAAAGCATCTAATAGTAACCCGATTCTTATCATGATTGATCTCCCAAATCGTGTTTATAGTTTTCCTACAATTAGGGCTGTGAAGAAGGAAGCTATGGTATAAGATCTAAAAAATTTGATTGCTACTGATAAATACATAAATAGTGGAGTGAATAAGCTGTGTGAAATGTTCTTTTTATCAAATTGCTCTGGCAAAAATGGAGCAATGATTATGAAAAATCCTTCCTTTATCCCATTAATGAAGACAAGTGAGAATACTGTCAAGTTATATTTCATTATAATTAAAAAAGTGTTTGAAAGTCAAATATTGCTAGTAATTACAATATGATAATTTATTCTATTATACCCCAAAATAATGCCTTTTGAATCAAAGGGGTTTTGGGGTTTTGGGGTTTTGGGG